CCTCATCAGGTTCCTCTCTGCCCAGCTCTCCAGCCTGTCCAGGTCTCGCTGGATGGCAGCACAGCCTGCCGGTGTATCCACCACTCCTCCCAGTTCTGTGTCACCAGCAAAGTTTAGCCTCAGCCTTTCTGGTTGCTCTTGCAGCAAGATCTTTCTAGACAAGTGGGAAGATCTCAAAGGCTGGGGGAGGTGACATAATATGCAGTCTGCACACCCATAATTTTATTTCTGTCTCTGTATGGCTTAGTCGAAATCGTCAGTGTGTGGTCTTATGGCCCTGTGAGTGCTTCTCTGACGGAGAATCGTTTTGCTGGGTTGGTTCACTTTGATATCTCCCATCTTTGAGTTCAGTGAACCTAATCTCATCTCACCGGAGTTTTCCAGCTCCAATCTCTTGGTTGTCGTTGCGGAGCTCAGGTTCTGCTTCGACGAAGGTCCTGCTGCTGAGCTTCCCTGGCTTGTGGCGCTGCAGAGCTGAGCTCCTGCCCCGTGGATTAGGCACCTTTAAAGAAACCAACACTGTTCTCCAAAGCAGTTGTGGCAGGTAGTTTAAAATTTGTGCCATGTCAAGTAGGAAACACAGAGGCTTTGTAGAAATCCTGCCTGAAAATAGAGCTTACATCTCTCCTGCTCTCCATGGCCGTGTATCCATGCCAAAAACCATCTTCCACTTGAATATTACTACTTCCATGAATTCTCAGCCCATTCTTTATTCTGTTTCGAGCTATGAAATGCAAGCCTTTTTCCTAATGAATATACAATCTTGACCATACATTCATTAGGGAAATTAATCTATGAATGGCAGTGTGTGGTAAGAAGTTAGCAGACCCAACACCTCCACCTTTTTCTTTCTAGTTCTTGTTTCTTGACCTAAGTTGAGCCTGGAAGTGAAGCAGGCTTTGGTTTCCAGCTGAGACAAGATGGGATCGCGGTAGCTATGTAAGAAATAAAAGCCTGGTTGAATTTTTAGTGGCCAGAAAGGCCTTGCCATGCGGGGAAGTTCCTGTCCTTTCCTTCTGAGGATGCACTTCAGAGTAAGGTAAAAGAACTCGCCGTGAATGCAGCTGATCTGTTCCTAAACTGCTCTGTTGCTTCTGCCCACGGCAAAGAGGCTAAAAAATGTTTCTGCGGCTCGGCCAACTGCCGGGGTTACCTGGGCGGAGAGAACAGGGTCAGCATCCGAGCCGCCGGCGGGAAGATGAAGAAGGAGCGCTCCCGTAAGAAGGACTCGGTGAGTCTGCTTCTCCCATCTGTGTGTGTGTTTATTTATTTTAAGAGTAGCGGCAGCCAAGGGTTGGCTCTGGGCTGGATCCTCTGCTTGCGAGTCTTCAGGTCACCTCTGTAGTCATCTTCTGCGATGACGAAGACCTCGCGAAGTCCTCAAGGTTGAGTCTTTTCCGTGGGTGTATTGGTACCATTTCATTTTGTAGAGACGAAGTCCTCAAGGTTGAGTCTTTTCCGTGGGTGTATTGGTACCATTTCATTTTGTAGAGATGAAGACCTCAAGGTTGAGTCTTTTCCATGGGTGTATTGGTACCATTTCATTTTGTAGAGATGAAGACCTCAAGGTTGAGTCTTTTCCATGGGTGTATTGGTACCATTTCATTTTGTAGAGATGAAGACCTCAAGGTTGAGTCTTTTCCATGGGTGTATTGGTACCATTTCATTTCGTAGAGACGAAGACCTCAAGGTTGAGTCTTTTCCATGGGTGTATTGGTACCATTTCATTTTGTAGGGGCCCTCAGTTTTTCTTGGAGCTTTAGTTAAATCCATATTTCCTTTCTCTGGGTTCCTTAGCACTAAATCCCATCAGAGGGACTTCCACAGGTTCAATATCTTGGTCATCAATCCCGCTAAAAACCATCCTAATTTCTACACAGTGTTAAAAATTTGGTTTGTGTCGCGTGGTTTCGAAACCTTGGCGGAAGACGAGCTTTGCCATTTCGGACTTTGCCTGAAATTCGACAGCCAGAAGGGCCCTGAGGTTTGGCATCTCCAAGCTGGGACGTGAAATTTGAGCCTCTTCATTGCTTTGGCCTAGAGGCGAGGCAGCTCCCAGGAGGAGCTTGTACGGGCACGTGTCGTGTTTGCGCTGACTGCAGTTACAGCTGTGCTTGCAGATGGACATGAATGAAATATGTAGCTTAAATCCAGACTTTTTTTTAGTCTTTTTATAGCTTTTCGTGCATGGGATTCCCTTCTGTGAACCTGCTCCCCACGTTGAATTGCAGGGATGGGTTCACACAGTGGACGTAGGAGACTCTGCAGAGAAGTCTGAGCAAAGCAGTCGAAAGGAGTTTGTCCTGGGTGCAGACTGCTGCAAGGCACTACACGGGCTCTTTGTGCTTTCTACGAGGTGTAATTGCTCTGTCCTGCAAGATATAAACCTCTTTTCCTACAGATAAGATTTGTTACTGGCTCTTTTAGGAGAAACTACCTTTAAAAATGCCATCTTCATATTTATTTGCTGTGTCGGGGTGTCAGGAAGCCAAGAAATTATTTGGAAGTCATTTAGAAGTGGCTTTAAAATGCTAATTGGTGGCACTGAGCGGCAGGCTAAATGACGAACGCTGATGTTCCGGTGTCTGCGTGGAGAGGAACGCGCCTCTGGGTGTGAAGGTGATAAATCCCAGTTAGGTGCTGAACGAAGTAAATCTGTCTGTGATTAAAGGTAACCTCTTAGTGCACGTCTGTTTTCCGATGTGAAATGATAACCTTGCAACAGGGAGGATTTTGGTGGGTGCACCTGGAGTTGCCTCCTCCTGTACAGCTAAACCACGCCGTTCGTTAGGGGACGGGGGGTTGGAGTGTGACTGGCTGCCTGCTGTCCCCAGTGTGAGCAGAACTGGTGGGAACAGTGCGCTCTTGTACGGGATTTGTGTGCCCTGGTTGCCCAGAAGGCCAGTGGGATCCTGGGGTGCATTCAGAGGAGTGTGGGCAGCAGGGCGAGGGAGGGTCTCCTCCCCCTCTGCTCTGCCCCACTGAGGCCCCATCTGCAGTGCTGTGTCCAGTGCTGGGCTCCCCAGTTCAAGAAAGATGAGGAGCTACTGGAGAGAGCCCAGCGCAGGGCTACGAGGATGAGGAGGGGACTGGAGCATCTCTCCTAGGAGGAGAGGCTGAGGGAGCTGGGCTTGTTCAGCCTGGAGAAGAGAAGGCTGAGAGGGGACCTTGGAAATGCCTCTAAATATCTGCAGGGTGGGGGTCAGGAGGCCGGGGCCAGACTCTT